TTTCCTTATTGCATTGTTGGTGTAGCAATATGTTTGCTCGACTATTAAAAGTTTGTAAAATTAGATTATCCGCATGAGTAGTGGCCTATCTACATGAGACAGGTAGTTTGTTGAAAATTAATTAGATTATACACAATAACTTATATTTTTACGCTATGCTTTCACTTTTTTAGGTTTTTACTCATGTTTCCGCTTCGGCGTAGAAACATGAATTTGACTACATTGATAACGAAAAATATCAAGCCAAACGATTAAGGATTGATGGTGTAAACTTGTATAATTAAGTCCCAATCAGTAGGTCAATTACAACAAAATTTGATCAAGTAGTATGGTTTTAGACAACTATGAAAGAATGACACAATTGATACAGTAGGAAGAAGTGTCAATCCGAGCTCACACCATAACTAGTGAGAATGTGCTCTCACGGTTGGATTGGAGACCACGAAGGTGGAATTTAGAATGAGACGGCCCAAATGAACTGGCTCTGGGTTGGGCTTTTATAGGTGAGGAGTTGGGCATCGGAAGCTAGAAGCAAGCCAGCCGAGAAAGAAGGGCGCCTCAGCCTTGCTTTTGGTGGGCAAGTTGAATTTTCGGTTGGAAAGAGAAGCCTTTCATTTAATTGATCAACGAAATTCTTTCTATCTCTCTCACTCCATCGATCTCTTCTCTTCCAAGTGCTCTTCTCAATCTCCGACCGCCGCCGTCTAAGAGTGGAATATTGGTTGGATGATTAAGGATACTAGTACGACAACGTTGAATACTTGTTACACACTTATGAACACGAGTTTGTCTACGTGTAATATTTGTTCGTCTACTGTGCGCGAATACTAGTTAGACCTGTATGAATACGTATTTAGAGGGTAATTAGCATAAATGGCACAGACCTTTGCACTTAGTACAAAACGGTCACAAATATTTCATTTGTAACGACTCGATAACAAAACTTTGTATTTAGAACAAAACGACCACAAATTAAACATAGTGACCATTTCATACAAGCTCAAACTTTTGTTACCGAGTTGTTACAAATTAAACTTTTGGTGACCAGTTTGTACAATGTTCAAATGTTTGAACCATCAATCAATGTTACAATTTGCTCCAGTTGAGGTATGGTAGTTTTGTTAATTCATGTGAATGATATGATCAAAATTCAACGTCACACAAACGGGTTCTGATCTACTTTTTAGTTGAAAAATCTCTGTCTACTTTCTTGGTATCAAATTGAAAGGTCGACAAAGGATGTTCTTATTCTGCAAAGCAAATATATTGATGAATACACGACCAGACACCTTATATATCGTTCAAGTGGTTAGTGTCATATACTTGACGAACACACGACCCCACCTCAAAACGGGCACAAGCATTTAATTTGTAGAGGTGTCAACCGGCGAGTTCAGGTTGAGTTCAATCGGGTTACGAGTTAGTCGGATTTTGGGTTCATCGAATTTCGGGTATGTTGGATTCGGGGTTCATCGGGTTGAGGGTCAGACGGGTTACAGGTTAATCGGGTTGTATGTCAATTGGTGTTCGAGTTAACCGGATTACGAGCGGATCGGGTTGTCGGTGGTTCGAGTTCGCACATTATGTTACTTACTCTTTACTAGTTACAACTTCCACATTATTTATTGCTCTAGTTGAGATCGAGGTATAAAATGTGAATGATTGTTGCTTTCATCACCTACATTTGGTTCCAACGAAAAATAATTAACAAATTTGAACATTGTTCAACAAACCTAATTCATACATCGAACCTTAAAATCTATATGGTACTTATCAAGTAATTCATATTTGATTAGCAATATCTATGTTATATATGTGTTTATCATGCATAAATTTAAGATATGACACATAAATCATATTGCAATGAATATTTAGCCCCATACACAAAGTCTCAAACCACATTGAGTTCAGTGTAGTCAAAAGCTAGCTTTAAAGTCTAAAAGCCTACGCTTTTACGCTTTGGAACCCCCAAATATTGTAGCTTTTGTTCAAAAAGCCTTTTGCACCAAAAGTCCAAGTAAAAGCCCCCAAGCCCAGTCAAAGCCTTAGAAGCTAGCTTTCGACCACTTCTCTACGCTTTTGATATCCGAGTATGATGATCATATGTGGTCGTGTTTGGTTCAATTTTTTGGACAAAAGTGAAAAATGATGCAGTCTTATTTGTTTTCTAGTCGGGTTATACTTTCAGTATTTGCTTTTATGAATTTATCATCCCTAATTCACCGCCACTTTTCCACATTCTCGTATTTTCTCTGCCTCCAAAACCACATGCCACATCCAAAGTCCTGCTTCCAACGCTTTTCCCTTAGTTTCCCGCAACGTGCATCCAACTTCCTCTTAGTAGGCTCCCACTGCTACAATAACTTGGACATCTTCACTCGATGCATCAACCCTCCCTATCCCTCTAAATCCCATCCCACCCCTATGACTATGTTGTCATCAAAGCTCATCTCCTTCAGCCTCACATTTGCCGCCACTATGACTTATTAGTGGAGCTTGTCTATAACTCTTCTAGCTTCATCATTTGTTGTTGGTTTCCTATTCTCATATTTTTTCCTAGAAAGCAAGAGGAAGGTGGCGAATTCTTGTTTAAAGGCCTATTTCGTTTATTTGTATGAGAGTAATATGTTAAATATGAGCTAGTTCATCTCTCTGTCCATATTTTGCATAATACAAGTTATGGTTAGAATATTTCTATTAAAATTATATGATGTGCAAAAGCTAACGCTTTCACGCTTCATTTATTTGTATGAGAGTAATATGTTAAATATGAGCTAGTTCATCTCTCTGTCCATATTTTGCATAATACAAGTTATGGTTAGAATATTTCTATTAAAATTATATGATGTGCAAAAGCTAACGCTTTCACGCTTCGCTTTTGCGCTTCCGCTTTTACCCATCATTTCGCTATTACTTAAAAGCTAGACTTTGACTGCATTGATTGAGTTGTAAAATACGTAGTATAACCAACATACGTTAATCAAGTTGCTTTGAGAGTCATACCATCAATTTGAGCTCCGAGTTACTTATAAGCAGGTTGGCTCATTTTCAATCCTAGTATCATATACAACTACAATAGATTCGTACACAATTTGCAAAATATATCCTTTAACTAACTAAAAATCCTAGTTTTCAATACATCACACATATTTGATTATTTGCAAGATGAAACTTTAATTTAATATTGAACATTTCTCTCAATGCGTTTACAATGTCTCAGCCACTAAATGCTAAAGCAATCATATGTAACACATTATGACAGTCAAATTGACAAGTAATTAAGTAAATTATCTATAATGTAAAATAACCTAAATTTGAGGCAGTCCGAGTAATATTATAGTGAAGATGAGATAACCAATAATAGGTTCTCAAATCTAATATGTCACTTGGCTATTTCAGGTAAGGCGATAATATACTCAATCAGCCATGCCCACCACATATAAATTCTAGATTAATATTTAAAAGACTAAAATTTTGAAACATACAAAATTTGAAATTACAAAACTTTTATCTTCTTTTTTTTTACCGAAAATTTGAAAATAACAAAATTTCTTTCCTTATTTACCTTCCCAGAAACTAAAAGCATTCGTATTTCTCTCATTTCTTTTCCAAAAAATTTAAGAATAACAAAAAATTCCTCCTTATTTGTTTTTCAATATATCAAAACCACAAAAATTTATCACTAATTTTTCTTTCCATTAATAAAAACATCAAAATTTTCCCTTTCTTTCCTTTTCTAAAAATTGAAAGCACCAAGTTTTCATCTTCTTTCTCTTCTAAAAAAATTGAAAATACCTAATGTGTTTATATTTAATTGTTAAATTTATTGAAAATTTAATAGATCATAATTTTATTTTATATGTACTATATTAAGGTTGTACATTATCTCATTTTGTTAAATATTTATAATCAATATTGTCATTGTGCTAATTTTATATTTCATATTTTAACCTTGTAAAAAAACTTAATGTTAAGTGAACTTCATATTTTAATTCTTGTAATTTTTTTAAAATGCATAATTTCAAGTAAATCTTTAATTTGAACCAAAAAATTCATTTTAAAATAGTATATATTATATAATATAGTAATTAAGCAAGTCAATCAGATGGGTTCAGGTTACTGGGGTTGTGAGTTAATAAGATTACGAATTTAAGAAGGGTACAGATAAATGGGGTTCAGGTGACTCGAATTGCGGGTTTGTTATATTATGGGTTGATAAGGTTGCGAGTCAATTGGATTATGAGTCGGGAGGGTTACGGGTTATTAAACTTTAGTTAATTCAAGTAGCAGGTCGGGTTGCTCGGATCAGACTCTATTTTGACACCTCTAATCTAAGATTCCAATATTTATTCGACGCGTTTGAATACTTGTCCAACTGTCCATAAGCACATAAACCATTATTGAAAAACATGTCAACAAACATTCATATGATAGATATAAATATTAGTATGTTAGATATGAATTTTAGTTTTGGAGATATTAATATTAGTTTAGTCTTTGAGAAAAAGAATATGTATTGCCGAACAAATATTACACGTAGCCGAAGAAGAATTCAAATGCGTTGAAAATGTATTCAAAAGTGCCGAACCAGTATTTAAAATCTTCTGACAAGCATTCAACTCTCCGAAACAATCAAATATTTCACATAAATGAGTACATATTCATAGACGTGTAACAAATATTCAGAAGCGTCAAAGAAGTATTCAAAAAACATTGAAGAAGTATTCGAAAGACGTTGAAGAAGTATTCAAACATGTCGACTAGTATTCAAAAGCTTTCAACAAGTATTCCCATATCCAAAATCAATAAATATTTCATATAAATAAACACGCGTATTCATAGGTATCGAACAAGTACTCAAAAAGACAAGAACTATTATCGAAACAAATGATCAAATATTTGTAACACAGAAGTGCAAGTATTCATAAAGACATAAACTACTATTGAAAACATATCAACACACGTTTCCTTTTACAGAGAAACCACATTCATAATAATCATATGAACCATAAAGTCTATTGAAAATTGGTATTTTTTGCTAGCCGCCTAAGCACCATTTCGGTGTGCTAGACACTTTAGATAGGGCCCTCAACATATTGCTAGCTAGCTCTTTCTTGAACCTTAATATGTATTCTATACCCAGTTACCCACCAAGTGTGAATATGATATATATAAATAAATAAAAGGGTGCAAAAAAAAAAAAAATGAAAGCCCTAATTACTTGATTCATCATCACCATCCCATACATATATATGGTCAAAACTTAATTAGTCAAACATCGAGCCAGAAAGGCACACCGGATGCCGGAATCCAGGCATCCCCTTGTATAAATCGACTCACCGTGAAATCCCCGACCTGTTGAGGTGTAGTGAGCAGATGAAATCCAGGCCACCGCACCCTCCCCTGAGTCGCTGCACCGGACCCCGTGTTCCTATACTCGGCGTAGTAGAGCGTGGAAAGCGCAAAGCTGCCCCGCCACTCATTCCAGCCCTTTGGGTGAATGATGCCGTCTAAATCAGTCTGCCAAACCACCGTTCTCGAGTACTCCTTCCACGGTCGCCCCAGATAAGTCCGGCCGGTGAAAGCCCTGTCGAGATCCGGTGCGGGTCGTACCCGACAGCCGTGGATGGAGAAGCCGGTGTTCTGATTCGGGTCCTCCCGACCCTGCGCCGTCACGTGGTTGGCCTGATGTCGCATCGGGTTCCTGATGTAGATGTCGCAGTTCTGGAGGACGGCGGAGGCATCGCCAAAGATGAAATCGATGGTGCCGTAGATACGGCAGTCACGGTAGAATTGGCGGAGGGAGTGGAGGAAGAGCGTGTCCTGGTAGCCTTTGAAGCTGCAGCGATAGAACAGAGCGCGGTCCGAATTGGCCCGCATCGCTACGGCCTGGTGCTTCTGTGGGCCGGCTGTGTTCTCGAACGTTATGTCCCTGGCCCAAAACCCGTCTCCAGATACGCCTGTGTTCCATTTTCATTGCAAACAAACACACAACAACGAAAAAATCACAATTGCAAGTGTTTAATTTCCAAGCAGTTTGGGGGTGAGATTACAATTTTGATGAAATTTATAATAATACATACTCACCGAACGTGGCGGAGTTGTAGGTGGTGGAGCCGTCAGGAACATTTCGGCTGCCGGTGACGATAGTCCGATCAATGCCATCACCCACCATCATTAGATTCCTCAAATGCCGAGGGATTTCCACTCTTTCCTCGTACACTCCTGCTTTCACGTATATCACCAATCTATGCTTGTGTCTTCCCGCTCTCGCCGCCGCGGCAGCCGCCGCCACGGCCTCCTCTATGGAACGATGAGTGCCGGAGCCATCTTTAGCTACTACCATATCGGCCTTTGAAGTTGTAGCCGTCCATGATGTCAGCAATACTCCCCCATTTTCAATGATGCTGCTATTTTGATCACCGGTGCTCACCGCTTTGCTTGGTGTACTAGCTTCTTAAACAAAGAAACCAGAAAAACAAAGAAATGAAATTTTTATTTATTAGTTAAAAACACAAAAGAGTTGATGCAGTCAAGTTACACAAGATTAGGGGTAGCTATATTGGGACTACTTAGAGGCCCAGGTAACCTGAGAATTTTGAAAATCACGTGTAACCACAACGAGGATGTGAATTTTGAAATCACGTACAATTAAATTAAAATATATTTATAAATAGAGTTCAGGCTAGCATACGCCCTGGCGTACGTTAGACTACCGTACGCCCGTTTGAGTTTTGCTATTTAGATAATGAATTAATCGGAGTTTTGGGCATGATGCTGTTAGTGTTGTGGTATATGATCCACGATTGAACCTCTCCCAACAACTCGAGTTATTGGGATCAACTGGTTCTTGACATGGTATCAGAGCCTTCTGTGATCGAGAGGTCTTGTGTTCGATTCCCGGTGACCCCAATTTGTTAAGCACATGGTATTCTTGTCTTCAGACCTGTGCGAACTTCAAACCCTTATGAGTGGCTTTCGTTTGAGGGGGCGTGTTAGTGTTGTGGTATATGATCCACGATTGAACCTCTCCCAACAACTCGAATTATTGGGATCAACTGGTTCTTGACAGATACTATACCCTAACCACTAATGGATAAACCCTAGTCCCTAGTTTTCTAACCCAAATCATGAGATTCGTTTAGTCTTAAAATGAAAATCAACAATAATTTCGATGAACCAAAACTGTTGATTTTCATTTCAAGATTAAATGAATATCATGCTTTGGGTTAGTGAATTGCGGACTGGGGTTCACCCATTAGAGGTTAGGGTATAGTATCATGCCCCAAATTTTGGTTAATTCATTGTCTAAATAGACAAACTCAACGAGCGTACGGTAGACTAGGATACGTCCGTACGTACGCTAGCCTTTGCCTTATAAATAGAAGTATTGTGATATTAGTTGTTAATTAATGTTGCTGCTTCTGGTCCAGCGACTAAGTGCTTGGCTAGTATGTTAGAAGACATAGGTTCAATACTCAAAGACCACAAATTTATACTACTTTTGGTCTTTTAATTAAGTTGATTTTTGCTATAAGTTTCAATGTAGTCACTTAAGTTTGAAGAGGAATCACTTAAATTTGAAGAGGAAGTAAAAAGTTTTAAGTACTAAAGGGAAAACAAAAAACGGTCCGAGTGGAATGTAAATGCAAATTTAAGTAGAACGTATGTGTCGTTTGGAGAACAAGATTTGGATCATGAATTTATTGAATCCATAGATTTAGAAAAATATTATATTTTTTTGCTACTTTTTGTATCGTGGATTGTAGCTTAGAAATTTTAAATCTCTCAAATCTAGAGATATCAAATCTCTAATAAAATTAAGATTCTATATCTTAATTTTGGAGATTTTCTCCCTCATAATATATCTCTTCTTTTTTCATTTATCCCACTAAATACCCTTACCAATAAATTATTAATATTTTTTGAGCCATTCCAATTATTTTGGTTAAGTATAAACATGTTATTTAATAAAAAATAGAATTTTTTTTTCATTGGATGTTAAACAATGATAGTTACCAAACAATAAACATTTATAAATCTTTTTCAACACAATGGGAGACAGATAACATGGAATGGAATGGAATTTAGTTTACCAGCAGATGGGTTTGCGTACGAAGCCAAGGCCTTAGCAAAGGAAGGCGTCAAATCCGGAGCATTAATAGTAAGACCGCTCTCGCCCAGACCGTCGACGCAACTCCTGTGGTTCGCCAGCGCCGCGCTCAGCCAGGTGATGGCGTCATCACGGCTGTAGCTGATGTTGCCGCGGCCCAACAATGGCTCCACCATCCACTCCGCTTCACCGTACAGCTTGCCGCAGTCTCCCAAAGCCTCCGCTACCGCCGGGACTTCGTCAACCGCTGCCATTTTCGCCTGCTCGACCCAAATCCTCGCTGAACCGATTTGGTTACCAACCGCCTCCAGGGCGTCGCCCTGAGAGTGAGAGGCTGGAGCGGTGACGGCGGCGGCTGCTATTGCAGTTACAAACATTAAGGTTGTACTGATCAATCTGCTGGCAGCTGCCGATGACCACATGATGATGTTTAATTTCTCTCTTTTCTAATTTTGCTTTTCCGGCCAGGGACGAGCTAGCAATATTTGTGTATCAAGTTGTTGTTTTTGTCACATATATGTACTGTAACGGATGTGCACATAGAACAGAAGCGGGGAATATGACAAGTTTGTGGAAATGGTGACAGATGTTGGGTACGTAGGAGAAGGGCATGTGTCAATGAAGGGTGCTGGAGTGTGAGTATACAAAGCCAAGTAAGCGCTCAATATATACCAAAAGATACTCGAAAGAAAGACACATGTACATGTATACACGTACGTACGTATACACTAAAGCCTTCGACAGCAAAATTCTAGCGGTCCACCAGCTCACAGGACACGACCGATGCCAATTTCCTTTTTGCATTGTTTGGTTTCTTGAATCCGGTCTATGAAAATGGTGAATGTGAGGGAATCACATATGTGGTATAACTATAGGTGTCAAAACATGATCCGATCCGAGTAACCTGTCCAACCAACTCGATTCGTAACTCGCCCGCAATTCGAATGGACTAAAAGTCAAAGACCCGCAACTCGCCCGACACGCAACTCGCTTAAGTCGTAACCCGATTAACATATAATCCGATTGACTCGCAACCCGCTTGATTCGAACCCAACTCGCTTAACCTGCAACCCGCTTGACTCACAACCCAACTAACCCAAACCTGATTAACCCAACCCAAACCTGCCCGATTGGCACGAATAATACTATATAATATATTTTAGCGCATAAATATTATATATAGATAATATATATAAAAAGTTTACATGACTTGATTCCACTTCAGTGCATCCGAATATGTTCTCTAAATCCATATCCCCTTACTTCCTTACTTGCGGCCCTTCTTCTTGATGTTCCTTGTTCTAGATGTAGCCCTCCAGGTTCCTATATATTCTCTTTCCCTTAATAAGATTTTGACCTCGAAATTTGGTGGCTACTACCGCTCTGTGCCTTTGATCTTGATCGACTTGTCCATGCAATTTTATGTCTTTCCTTGCTGGTTCATTGCCTCTTATAAAGAGCAGTCATATTTTCCTCTATGACTTCGTAAGGACATTTTCTTCCTTGTTTGCTCGATCTTGATTTTCCCATCCTAGGTAACTTCGTCGTCAAAGAGGCTTGAACATCATCTACGGTTACTGAGTTATCTTAGTTGACATCTTTTAATACCATAAAATTCCTCCAACCTAACAAGGGAATCCATTTTTACCTAGACCCATTAAGGCAAGGTAAGCTAATGATTTGCCCGTTGGTTCCTCCAGCTCTGACCTCAATAGTGCTACCTTCTTTCTTATATTCCTTAATACCATCTCTTGTATTGCGCTTCTCAAATTGTCCACCAATACCTATATGTTTTGGAAGCTTTGTCGTACACGCATAACTGCTTATATATCGTCTATTATCTTCCCACCATTTTCCCCACTAAAGGGTTCATCCTTCTGTGACATGTTATGTAGTTTGGATACTCATCCCATTTGGACTAGGCCAACTAGCCAATAGATTTGTCCCTTTAGACTTTGTGGCTTCTCTTGTCCTAACAAGTATTTCTATCTCCATGATAGGTTGATCATCTTTGGTCATACTAGGCAACATGTTCATCCTTCTGTGACATGTTATTGTATCTCTCTATTTTTCAACTCACGTGTTCACGATAATTGTAGAGCCTCGTAAGTCCATATTTTTGTTAAATTCATTCCATTAGCTAGTTATCAGTGACATAGCAGCTAGCATCACACTAGGATTAGACATGCTACCACATGCTTAATACTATTTTTTTAGTATGTTTGAGTTGAACTATGTGGTCCTTTCCTTGACGCCTTGGACATGTAAGGATAAAAATTCTCCTCTACCTCTCTTTGTCTTACTTGAACTCAATATTTTGCTTGCTTCTTCGGAAAAAAAATATTCCCCCCCAGCTCAGGCCTCCAAGCTCCCACATAGTCTTTTCACTTATGTACTTTGACCCATAAGGTTATCCCTTCAACTAGTCTTCTCACTTAGCAATGAATAACTCAATCCTTATATCTAAAATACTCTGTGATTTTTGACAAGAAAGGGTTAATAAATAAATAACTATCAAAAGGAGTTGTAGCTTGAAGAGTCCATAGTTGACACTGCGTTTGGACTTATTAAGTCACTGCCTAACCCACAATTCACAGTGCCTAGACTGCCGCATAATCCAACTCTGCTCGCTTCGAAACTTTTAACCCACAATTAATTACGCCCAACGCATTTTCTCGCGCTAATGCCCAAGGAGAGGCGCTACCCCAATGCCCAACACATAACTAAGTCTACACGTGCTTTCTTGAACCCTGATCCATGTTGACTTCTTCAACCTTTCCATTCACGTAACGCGGTGCGCCTCCATCATTATCCATACGCCCATCGTGATGGACAATAATATCAATCATGCCAGCCATCGTTATATGGTTAAACATAAATTTGAAAATATATGCTTAAGTATTTTGCTAACTTTCTAATCCAAGTTCGCAAATCCCAAAGATAAAATTGTCGAACACTTCTTGGAGCTATAAACAAACAACCTCATAATCGAACTTGACGATAAAAAAATTCGAGGAGTGATGTACATACTCAATTGTGGTCCCTCCTGTACGAATTCGTCGTCACAAAATAATTTGTTGTCCCTCCTTCAAGTACCTTTTCACGAAACCCTTCAAACCCAAAACCCTAGAAATTGGGGGAACACCTCTGACTCTCAATTCACTGCTGCTATTTAAGGAGGAAGGTGCATCAACCTCTTAGCCACGTCAGCGTTGAAGGATGAAGGAATTCCGTCAGTTGATAAGAATCTCCCTCGCAACAACTTGGTTGTGTCATCCAGAAGAGGGCTTCGCTTGGTTCGACGCTCCTCGCCAACAAATTGATGATTGTGTCACTGTCCCGACGACGGTGCGACGCTTATTCAATGACGATTTCTTGGGAAGATCTGCGACGATTTTCTTCTCTTATTGTTAGGTTTCAATGATTTTCTAAAAAAAAAAAAAAAAGAAGGGGGAGAATGACAATGGGGCGCAATTCACCCCCAATTTTCACTTTAGCAAAAAAAAATTTAAGTCTAGAAATTTTTATTGACATGGCAGAATCAAATAAGTTATTTTGTAGGTTTAATTATACGATTGTTAGCCCATTACCCGAGTAATTCATGTCGAACTTTAATTGTGTTAATTTTGTGAATTAATGTACCACCCGTGTTATATTCCACTATAATGGAATGAAGATAATGACTAGGCAAAACGTATAGGGTAGGGTGTTGTAGAAGCGATTATGGGTACATGCCTTATCCATCACTGCATGGCTCTCTTGCCAGTTGATCTATCTTAAGTTTTTTTTTTTTCTCTATCATTGACTCACCATAAAATTCTCCATTAGTTGGAGCCATGATTTGTGTTTCGGGCATTATCATCACCTCTTCCACTTGAGATTCTTCATTAATCTCATATGTGCCACAGTTACCCTAAATATTGTATAGGCCTCATGCTGGATTAGGTGTGTTATTCCTTCCACTTTATATTGAGACAACAATGCTTTCGTAGCGTCTAGTTCAACACATAGCCTATCATTTTGGCAATATGCAACACAACTTCAACATTACTGAACATGACTGAACGCTACTGCAGTTTCACCTAGACAATTATTGACTCTACCTTAGTAGTCCAAGGGTTGAAATCCTTAAACCGTCGGTGCACGATGAGGTATGTCTCCCCCAGAGCCATGGTCTGCCCCAAGAAGCCAACTGGTAATCCAATAAGCTTTTGAATGTAACTAGAAGCATATGTTATTCATATCATAAATTTGTAGGGTTCCATTCATTCCCCACAGGAAGTACAAACATCGGGCCGAAGCTAAGTAGAGAACCTTCCGACCAAGGCCTTTCACGAAGGGCAAACTACCACTCGCCCGTCCATCGAATTTCCGCCATGCTATCATTTTGGAAAAGCTTCACGGAATCTCCCTTCCATGTTGTCAGTTTTGGGTTCTTCTATGCAGCTATCAGACTTGTTTCCTACCCAACTTTCAGTTTTCCATCTCCGATGCAGATTCCTCAAGACCCACCACTCCTTGTTCCAAATGCATGGCCCGAACCTTATTTTTTTATATATAGTTTCTTTTTCTCTTTTTTTCCATCGGGTGAAGAGGATAGTATCGTCGGTCTTCGGATGCCACTCAAATGAGGTGGGAGTTTTGCATCAGCCGATATCTTGTGGGGTGGCGGCAGCGCCATCTCGCTTAGGTGAACCCTATTGTAAATTGTTGCACCACAAAATACGATCAAACTTTTGGGAGAAAAAAACCCTTGAGTAAGTGGCGTTGTACGAAGCTAACTCACTTGAATCTTTGATCACTACCTTCATTTTGACTCATTTTCCTGTCCCAACTAGTTTTCCGACAAAAGCTGAATTTTTAATCCACAAAATCAAAGAGTAAAATTAAGGGAAATAAAGTGAGAAAGGAGAAATAATTTAAAATTTTTCAGCTCTTGTAAAAAAAGTCATAATAATTCTAAACCCCCATAAAAACATAAAGATAAATGCAAAAACTTCTAGCAACAACCCTCTCTCTCCATAACCCCATCCATTGACTTTCTCCGAAAAACCAGAAAATATAAATAAAATTAATAATTGTCATAATTATTAAACAGAAAATGGAAACAATTGAAAAGAAGGAAAAAAATCCTTATACCTCTCCTCCACACCACCATCATCACCACTAAAGAAAAAAGAAGAAAGAAAATGGTGGAAAGGGAAAACAACTAAAAAAGCAGAGCCTTTGAGAAAAAAATAGATAGAGCGAACGAGAAAAACAAAGACTACGTACGTACCATTTTTCTTATGAGTGCATCTCTCCCTCCTCATCTTCCTCTGCTCCATCAATTTCTCCACTCCCCCTCCATCCATTACCTACAACCTGCCAAATGATTTGCTGCTAACACTAACCCTAGCTTTCTTGAATCCCCAAAATATAAGAGAGACTCAATTCCTTCCTTGCAAACCTTCCCCTCTCTCTCCCCATTCTTTCCCTCCACCACCATTATCATTGCCCCCACAGATGAAGCAAATGTCCCATCTTGATCATACCCCTTCAACCCCTGGGAAATTCAAGATGGACAAATCCGCTTACCCTTACCATGGCGGCAGGTTGAGGTGGCACTCTTCTTTGGCAAAGCTCACATTTTGGTCCTTCGTATTCATTGGCATTATCTTCATCTTCTTTTATCGATCCCCTTCTTCTGTATCTTCTTCATCGTCTTCCTCCTCTGCCACCACCACTACTTCCTCCTCCAGCCGCTTCCATTCTGATCCGTCACGCCGCTCACTTCGCACCTCATCTTGGGGCGGACCCGCCTGGGAGAAGAAAGTCCAAACCTCCGCTCGCATTCGATCCCGCAATGGCTTCTCCGTCCTTGTTACCGGTGCTGCCGGGTTTGTTGGGACCCACGTCTCGGCAGCCTTGAAGCGCCGTGGGGATGGCGTTCTAGGTCTCGATAATTTCAACGACTACTATGATCCAACTCTCAAGCGGGCTAGGCAAGAGCTTCTAGAACGTTCTGGGGTGTTCATCGTGGAAGGAGATATCAACGACGCCGCATTGTTGAAGAAGTTGTTCCAAGTTGTGCCATTCACCCATGTTATGCATTTGGCCGCCCAGGCTGGGGTTAGGTACGCAATGCAGAACCCTAGCTCTTATGTACACAGCAACGTTGCTGGATTTGTTAGCTTGTTGGAGGTTTGCAAAGAGGCCACCTCACAACCTGCCATTGTGTGGGCGTCTTCTAGTTCTGTCTACGGCCTTAATACAAAAGTTCCCTTTTCCGAGAAAGACAAAACTGACCAACCTGCTAGCTTGTATGCTGCTACCAAAAAGGCTGGGGAGGAAATTGCTCATACATATAATCATATCTACGGCCTATCCCTTACTGGGTTGAGGTTCTTTACCGTGTATGGGCCATGGGGGCGGCCTGATATGGCGTATTTCTTCTTTACCAAGGATATCTTGAATGGGAAGAGCATACCTATTTTTGAAGGTGAGAATCATGGGACCGTTGCTCGGGACTTTACTTACATTGATGATATTGTTAAGGGGTGCTTAGGTGCTTTGGATACTGCACAAAAGAGTACAGGTAGTGGAGGAAAGAAGAAGGGCCCTGCCCAATTAAGAGTTTTCAACTTGGGGAACACTTCCCCTGTTCCTGTTACCAATTTGGTCACCATTCTTGAAAGGATTTTGAAGGTGAAGGCCAAGAGGAATGTTATGAAGTTGCCTAGGAATGGGGATGTCCAGTTTACACATGCTAATATTAGTTTGGCTCACAGGGAGCTTGGTTATAAGCCCACCACTGATCTACAGGCAGGGTTGAAGAAATTTGTTCGATGGTACCTCAATTACTATTCTCCTGCAGGAAAGAAGGCTGATGCACGATGACTTCAACTATTTTTTTCTTTCTTTTCTTTCGAGATGTGTTGTCGGGTACTAAATAGAATTTCTTGCTCATTATCATTCTTCGGATTGTTTTCCTAAACACATTTCTTATCCGCTTCATTGCACCAATTCTATTGTCTCTTCCACATGTATCTAATTGTTGATATATGAGGGAGGGATACTTCTGATGTGATCAAATGGTTAAAGAAAGATCTGTGCAAATTGGCGGATATTGTTTCGTGGGCACTCATGAGCTGTGTATAGAAAACAAACCCCGAATCGTCATTTTTTTCTTTCTTTTTGATTATTTTGGACTTGTAATTATTGTAGTTTTTGGCATTTTAGAATTGATTTTGTAGAGTACATGGTGATCGGTGGTACATGTATCATTTGTGGGCAAGTTCAATAAAAATAGCACATGATGATTTAGCTCTTCCAGATTCATGGCGGATATTATTGTGAGGTTACCTTTTGTGCCTTTGAATCCTTTACTCGTCATATGTAGCTCCTGCTATGTATGTTAGAACTCGAGGGATGCAGTTTACTTCATGTGTAACTTTCATCCATTAACTCTTGTTACTCCTAAACTGTTTGTGCTTTAAGTAACAATTCTGTGGGATACCCTTCCGGTAATAGTGAATACAACAAGGAAACTCATGCATTTTGGTAGGATGGTTAACTGTTTGTAGTATCTTCATCAGGTGGGTTTTACATTAGCTGCTGGGACATATATCATTTTAGAGGTACTAAATTTTTGCAACCATGGAAAGTAGTGGTTGTAAGTCATACAGATAATTATGTGTATAAAAGGACCAGAGTGGCAGATATTTGGGTTTGTTTGGTAGTCCTCAAAGACATGCTCTGCATGTCAGGAAAAAGAGTGATTGTTTGTTGCTCATATACGGTAAGATATGTTGTCCTTCTGTCATTGGTCTTGTTTTTCCTTCATGTGTTTTCCATGAGTTCTGGATCTATTACCTTAATAATGTTGCTCTGCCTGACTTGACTAGATGATTGATTGACAAGTCATACTTCTTACCTTACTGCTGGAACCAGCAACCGTTGATGAGTTCTTGTTTCTGTTTGGTTGCAGATATTGCCGCCAGCAATAGAGTTCAATTTAGTTGCTGCTCGTGTTTATTTGAAGTTGAACGAGCGTTTGGAAGAAAACTTGGTAAGTTGAGTTTCATTTTGAATTACTGTAGTTTGCTGGAGATTTTTTCCAGCCAGTGCATTGTGTGTTTGCAAAGTTAACCCTGTCAGTGAGTTGTTTTTGTTCCTTCATGAATTCGTGACTGCACAACAACCACCAGAAAGCAAAAATCCTTTCGCGGGAAAGTCTGATTGTGAAGATAATTAATGCAACAATATAAAGCAATGGCCCCTTATTTTCTATGGAAAGCAATGCTTGCAGAGCCGAACCCATCCATATTTGAAGAAGGTGAGGTGTTTCGTCTTTTTGGGTCACTAATGGAGAATGTGAATGCCAAACACATGATGATGTCCCACTGATGTAGCTTTCTAGTCACAATATTATTCTAGCAAATTTATAAAGTTTCTCTTTTTTAATAATGATGACATTCATTAAATTCTTAATAGGTCAAGGAATAAAATATACAAACTAAAAGTCGCATATCGGATGGAGCAACAACAGCTCAAAGGAGCTACTAAGTGATATCTCAAACAAAAACTAGAATAACCCTTTTGAAGCATAGCATAAACCAACACAGTAGCCTTTTGAAGCTTTAGACCCTCGAAATATGGCACATGCAGACTATCCTTTTGCTCAACCACATGCTACCAGTCTTGCTTATCTACAGTGCCAACGATGATTCGATTTGGAATACACTTTCTAAGCACCTTGATTGTCCTAAATGACCCGGAAGCTTTACTTCAACTACCAACCCACTTGAATCCAAGTTACAACTTAGGCCCTGCACATTTCCTCTATTGACCTCTGTCACAGCCTTATTCTCGATCGTGCGGCCTTAGCTCTCAATTCTGCTAGAGAACTAAGCAGCCTTCTCTCAAACTCACGTGCAAGCAAAGAAGCAAGAAGAAAGACAAAGAAGATGGAAAACTCTCTAGTATGTATACTTAAAAATGATGGAACGAGTACAAATAAGGGAGATGACTCCTTATATAGGCCTCTCCTCATACAAGGCATCCATGCCCTCTCATAATGTCCCCTCTACATCAATACACCCATTAAGTTCCCTTATAATCACTCTCTTTATACCACCCATCATGTGGCCCATAAGTGCACTATAATTCTCATAAAGGTAGGGATAATCCTAGATACATATCTATACTTCTAGTCTTTCATACACGCCACATGTGCATGCCATATTGTCACCTAGTTGGCACCATGTCATCTGCCACATATGAAACCTCTCACTGATACATAAACTAACAGCCGCTAATACAATCCAATAGCCTGGCGAGCCTTCCTCCTCCTCTACTGCTACTGGAAATGGATTTTCTTCAAGATGATTCGATTAGTTTTTTCCAAGAAAGACTCAAAACTTGTGATCACTGTCCCTGCCTACATAGTAGCCATGAAGTCTGCAGATGAGTTGATGTATCAAAGTTTAGGGCTGGAAATGATGCGGTTTGGTCCAGACCTGACCATATATATGGTCCATGGTCCAAATAGAGAGGATGTAGTATAGACCATACCACATACTATATAGTCCATTCCAGACCAGACCACGCCTGTATAGTATGTAGTCTAGTCAAACCAGACCATTCTTAATAATCTTGGGTCCGGAACCCAGGAACTCGAGGATAATGGTGGAGGACGATGTTGCTCGAGATAAAAATTCCACCCCTCTTGCCATCCTGACTGATCTCCCTCCCTGTCTCCTAATCTTGAACAACACAACCAGAACATGCAAACGTAACACGATAGCCTTAGTCAGTAAGCTGACGCACATAAACCAAACTCGGAACCAAGCGGGGCACAAGATATGTCGAGGGTAAAACAATATCACAATTATGGACGGATCCCATACCAGAGACATGCAATTTTTCACCATTTGCAACTTGCAAAGAAACATTATCAACGGGACATAGTTACTTAAGATTCGTAGCATTACCAGTCATGCTATTAAAACAAGCCGAATCGAGTATCCAAGAATGAGTCTTACCTGAAACTTGAAGACTGGCAAAGGCAGAAGAAATGGCCTTATTCACCAATTGTCGAGGGCCTCCAGAGACAACACCAAATTCTCCAAAGCTGGCGCCAGACTCGTAGCATATGCAGGACACGTATAAGAAAACCCACTACCATGACCACGTCCATCGACTCGCGTTTCCTTCCTTCAAGCGCGGGGAAATCCGGGATAATATGCTCGGCCTTTTTGAAGTACACACAGAAGTTCCTCTTCCTGCAATATTTCTTAGTGTGACCCCTTTCCTTGAAATGAAAACATTCAACGTCAGTAGCATTAACACGTCGCTGAAAGGATCACGATAAGCAGCAAAAGTTGCGTCATCATGGGAGTCAGGATGCTCGCGAGGGCCTCCCCGAGATGTCCCATCACCACCAGCCGCCTGGATTAAGAAATCACACTAAACACCGCTACATCATCACAGTCCCTAGGCTCACATTGAGCATAGCCTGTGTGCGAAGATGTGTTTCTTCTTGGATCAATTAGGCAAGGATACCATCAATCTTGAGGTTCTCACAATTCAGCAGGGAAGCTCGGATCGGCTCATAGTCCCGATTGAGTTGCATGATGAACTGCATTAGCCGCATCTTCTTGCATTCATCTCGAACCTCTGCCGAGCCAGCTGTGGTGAGAAGAGGAACTACGACGAGATCTTGTTCGTTCCACCGATTATTTGCTTCATTGCAGTAGCACGTCACGTCCATGCTGCCATGGTGAAGCAGTGCAAGCTCTACCTCTATCTCATACTATCGAGATGATGTGGCAGTCCGATAGGTATCAACCAAATCTTTCCACATTGTTGTTGTCGTAGGAAGCATACGAAGGCCTAAGATAATCGAGACATCCACCGAATTGAGAAGCAGGGTTCAGACCTTGGCCTCGTTCACGACCCATTGCAATACCTCAAGCGCAGAAGAGGGCGGCAAAGTTGGTCGTTGCATCGTGCCATCGAGCCATCCCATCAGCCCTTTGGCTTCAATCAATGTCTGAAGTTGAAACACCCACACCGTATAGTTCTTGGAATTCAGACGCGCTGTAATCTTCTCCGAAGACATAAACTCTGATACCATGTTAATCGTAACGAAATATCAAAACAGAAAACGTAAATCGACACAGTGAGTTACGTGGTTTCCTCGTTCAGTATGAACGAGACTAGTCCACGGTCGAATCTATTGTATCCTCTAATTCAGCGTAGTTTCAACAAGTCTGGTTACAAGCATATATATATATACAAGCTAGAGACAAACCCTAGCTAACTAGGCCAGCCCTAGCAAACCCATATTTTCGAGCTACGTATGGGAAAGTGGGCCGAAGTCCAAGTACATTACTCAACATGCTAGTGGTGGTTTTATGTCTGGTAGTTGGTTTTGATTAGGTCGTTGGCAATTTATTAATTTTTGCTAGTATGCCAGATGTTGATATTGGTTCCTCTAGACTAGCTATTTTATGTTCCATATGGTTTTGTTTGGGATGAGTTTGAAATGCTTGGGGGTCTTGCTCCACAGGCATGATTGGTTAGTTTGTTGCTCTGGTGCTTGATGGTGGATAATTGCCTAAGAGGGTCATTAGGGTCTCTTGCGAGGGTCATTAGGGTCTCTTGCTACCCCCCCCCCCCCCAGTCTTCGCTTTTAAGTAGGGGTGGGATTCGGTACGCCGGTAAACGGTTTACCGTTTTACCGAACCGTTTACCAGCGGTATCGGCGGCCGAGCAGCGAATTGGGTGGGTCGGTATACCGAAACCGGTATCGGTAAATACCGACGGTAAATCGGTAATACCGATACCGAACCCAAAACGACGTCGTTTTATTTGGCAAAGATTTCAACCCTAAAAAATACCCACCCAGCAGAGAGAGCAGCTGCCACCCTTCCTTCTTCGTTTCGAAATCGCCAGTTCAGAGAGAGCAGCCCCGCACAGCGCCGCAGCCACCTCTCCTCTTCTCCTCTTCGCCGGATGCTGCTTCTTCTGCCGCCGCCGCCGACGGCCCTGAATCCCTCACCCTCCCAGTCTCCCTTCCCTCGCCGAGTGCCGACGCCGCGACGCGTGACCAGCACTGAAACCCGCCGACCGCCCGCTTCCCTGCCGACGGCCCCGCTTCCCCGCCGATGGCGACCTGGCCCTGAAACCCTCTCCCTTCCCTCGGCGACTTGGAGGTAAGGCAGAAACCCAAACATCCCCGCCGACGGCGACCCGCAAAACCGCCCCACGTCGTCCTTTGCGGTAATTCGGTAAACCGGTTTGTAACCGTTTACC